GCATATACCATGAGTTTTCTGGGCACACACACCCTAAGCATACGTGTTCCGCCAAGTCCACCCACACTGCTGCATGCCTTATACCCATAAGGCAATCCGCACAATGCTGCTCGAGCGCCTGCAGCATGCGACATGAAGCCCATTTGTATCGCAGTATCGTGCGCAGCTAATGAATTTTGTTGCCACAGCACGCTGTCGCTCATGTGTAGATAATGGATGCACATGTTGCAGCAGGTTCTCTCAGCTCGTTGTGTATGGGCAAGCAAAATGCACCAATGAAATGTGCAAAGGGTGCCACAACAGGATGCATAGTGCCGCGTTGTCCTGTGCATGAAACATGTGAAGGCCGTCTGCCAAGCATAACGGCCAAAGTTAACCACCAGGAGCAGCTGGCCCCGCAAGATTCTCCACATGGCAGGCTGCATCTCGTGGCCAAGGGCACAAGATGCGTATGGTCATTGTGTGGTTAGTTTCGGGGAGTGAGAACTAAGGGTTTTGGATGCCTAGCATGATGTGGGGATGCAAGTGGAACACCAGGGGAGCATAATGGAAATCCGCTGGACGGCATTTGTCCAAAAATGACAGAAGAGACACGTTGCAGGTTGTGGCAGGGTTCTAAGGAATGCATGGCTTTGGCGCGGGACAATGTCTGACACAACAGTTGTAAATGATGGCCAGCGGAATGAGCAGTATTGTCGCAATGCATGCGCACATGGGCCCCATGTGCCAAGCCAGTGGTGTTTGTTTCCCCACCTCTGTCTGCAGACGGCCGTGAAGCGCGAACGCCTCCACTCTCACCACCAATGGTGACTAAGTTGAGCTCATAAACTTCCCCATCACTTGCAGAAGCAGAGCACAAATTTCTCCTGGCTCTACAACCTACTAGCACACCAGCTCACGGACGCCAATCAGGCATTTCTTGCATTAAGCGATAATAGTTTCTGCACGCTTCTAAGTCATTGTTCATGAGTTCTTCACTGGCTTCTGTGTTGCCAAACAGCTTTCATCTGCGCAGTGTCCATTTCAAAAATGCCAAAACGAAAGGGCGAAATCGAGATGTAGCAACACTTATTTCTTTGGATTTCGCTTCTCTTTTGTGTTGTGCCTTTCAGAGTACACGCTGAGCCCACAATGGTCATGTGGAAAGCATGATAAACATTCAGAGGTGCCAACAACACCAACTCGATTTGCAACGCCACAACAATGCGGCTGCAAGCAGATTCAGCCATCCACACTATTTCTCATCAGATCTCTTTACCTTGCGCATCAGATCGTTTTGGGGGCCACAGTGAGCAACCATCTCGCATCACAAGCGCGGCGCCTCCAGCAAATTGGGATCCCTGCCCCTTAGATCGGCACACATGCCCAACAACACACAGTTCCTTGTGCCAAAACAGAAGCCCATGTGGAACAACGGGTTATGGTCATTGAGAACAAAAGCCCTATTCTAGCTGTCGATACCGCCTCATGCCCCCAGGCCCATCACGGATATCCTGGAACGGTACGCGCATTCGCAGATCATCAACATTGGTATCTCACATGTACACCGGTCCGTACCCAACATGTGAAGGATGTGCGGCAAGGCGTGGGACGTTCCGCGGGGCCTCGAACCAAACTCACCACCATTCTGCTCTCCCAGTGCACGCACCAGATTGCGGATCTCTTGAAAGCAACGCGCCATAACCGACCACGTCACTCCTTCAAAGCCAGCGCAGTCTTACCAACCAACCAAATTTCCGACCGAGTGGAATCGATCGTTAACGGAGCCCGCCTCCGCGCCCTGTCAGACCCTCTGGGGTGGCAGACAGACTCCACCGGGAGCTCCTCCGCCCAACGCGACGCTGCCGGCGATGGGAAGTCGACACGAAGCCCCGACCGACTGGGGCAGCGCTTCCGCGAGAGGGGCGGAGGCAGGCTGGCACCGACACGGCAACCAGCACGACCAGAGGCACACGGATCAGATAGGAATCAACGGACTCAGCGAGGCTCCCGCTCACCATGGAGCGCCTCGTATTTGTATTAAAACCAGTGCGTCAGTACATCGTTATTGTCTTTGGCACTGTTCCCAACGTTTCCCAGTACAACTTCGACTAAGAAAAGCTGTAGTCCCTCCAATACACATCAGAGTGCGCCTGTCATGGATCAGATCACCCCTCGATTCTACCCCGAGCATGGCGGCGGCATACCCCAAACACGGCCTGGCCATGCCCCAACCATGGCGCCGTCACACTCCGACCCTTGACAACTCATATCAACAATTAGTCACTTCTAGTCCTGCCTGCCCGAGGATCAATCCTACGTTACTATGACGCTACCCCATCGCTGACTGAACGTATCAGTAATTCCTTGTCAGTTAATCGTATGTCTGTAGCTCGGCAGCCTCCGACATCGTATCATCGTCCTCTTCCAGCCGTATTCCCGCCTTTGCCATCGCTCAGTACGCCACCGATGATGGACCTCGATGAGACATCAAGCCCTGGCCTCCGCTGCAGTCTCCCTCTCCTGTCCAGCTCCCAGTCCGCGTGCTCGGATGCCCGACGCGGATGATGCAGCTCCCGAATCAACCACTCATGATCCGAAGCTCTGAGGGGTCGCCCTCACCGACATTTCCACCGTCTGTCTGTCATCGCTCCACGCTCCGATAGCCCGTACACACCATCGTGGGACACCGCGTCTGACCGCAAGCAGGCGGTGTGATTCGATGGGCACCGCTGACTGCTGTGCAGGCTGCAGACGCGGATCAGGCTCTAGAATGTTGGGAATCAATTCTTGGGCCAGACGTAGAGGCAGTCTCAGTCGGACAGCTCATCATGGGACACTGTCCACGCCGCCAGGGCGGACAAATGTGACATTTTGGCGATCGTAGTTAGTCCTTGTACTTGGTAACACGTTGTAGAAAAGGTCCCGTGGCCTTCCCAGTACTTCACACATGAAATAATACTACTGCCTGCACCAAATCGGTGACTGCTTGCACCAAATCACGTGAACACTATGTCCTGACCTCAGTTTTAGGAATAGGTTTAGTTTTAGGGTGAGTTTTAGGTTAGAGTTAGGTTTAGGGCAGGTTTAGGTTTTAGGGTTTAGGTTTTATGTTAGGTAAGTTTTGGAGGGAGTTGGTGCAAGCAGTCACCGATTTGGTGCAGCCAGTAATTGTATGCCCTTCATACATCGTTTAGTCACACTTGTACCATGGCGCCGGCACGCCCCAACCATGGCGCTGCCACCCTCGGTCCATGGCTTCCTGATGGTTAAAGTCTTAAACTCTAATCCTAATAAATGCAGTTTTTATCCTATGGTTTCTCCACTTAAAACTTCTTCCCCTGTGTTATGAAATCACCTCTTTTTGTCCTCTTTTTATCCCTTTTTGTTTTTTTTAATCAAGGGCCGGTGCATAAATGGCCTTGATTTGAGGTGATTTCAACAGATCACGATCGGGAGTGCACAGCCATGATGCCAGCTTGAGGCTGACTCACCGGGCTGGCGCATTGGGCCAGTGGGTAAACAAGGAACGATGCATTTCGATGCCCACAGGCAGTGGACCGATGGCGTTGGGGACTGCGTTGTGGCCGAGAGTTTGTGGGATTAGGTGCACAAACAGGGGTGCGCCACGCTGGAGCGCCTCCGGCACGCTATGGAAAGCGGTATCTGGGCCGGAGGGCAGGATGCAACTGCCAACGACAGATGTCGCCTGTGTGCCGCCAGCGACTGTGACGTGCAGCATCGCATCGACGTTCATGCAGCGTATTTGCTCTCCATGACGATTGCCTGGATGTGCTGCAATGTATATTGGAGCACCGAAGCTGTCAAGCGTAGCGATATCGCTACGTTTCACCAACGATGGTGAAACAATCAGCTTCGAGCAAGTCGCACGGTGGGCGCTGGAATTCCAATTTCCCGCCGTTTGGCGTCCACCAGTGGCGCGACAATCCGGGGAACAGGAATCAAAGCCATTGGGGGAGCACACTCTTGTGGATATGAACTCCCCCCGACACCGCCTTCGTGGTGGAATAGGTTTGTCGCATGCGGGCGTCTGTATTCCAATTGGTGGTCCAGCAGCCTGCATGTGCAGGCAGCAGCGTCCAGCCATGCGGTCTGGCCATGTATGGTGTCTGGCCATGTCCATGTATATCTGGGTGTATATGTTGGCTCTCGCGCACGCCTTACACGTGCTGGTTATAAATTCACCTGCGACAGGTGCCGCGGATTTGGCTAGGAACGTCAGTTTCTGGAAATTCCATTTTTGGACAGAAACGCACCACAATTGGATGGCGAAGCCTTCAGAGCATGTTTGAATGAACATCTGTGCTGAGACTGCAAAATTTGAAAACAATTCCACTCCAAACCATGTTGATGGCTTTCCTGGAGAGTGAGTGCGATGCAGAGTCGGACACTGTCAGTGCAACGGGGATTTGTCAGCTTTGCACACAGCTTTACTCATGCATTCTTGCACTCACGGAGCAGCAATTGCGTATCGGTGGATCAAGCAACGGCAGCAGGTGTTTTGAGCCCAGCGCTGTTTGTTACGATGTAACCTTGGTGACCAGGTAAATGGTGCTCACGTCAGATCGAATGTACATGCAGTGCACAAGGGCCAGCTCCCAGCTGCCTTGGCAAAATACAGCACACTTGTGACATAATATATGAAGTTCTGCCTGGATTTCTACCTGTGGACAAACCAAATCTGGGAACGATACCTAGTGGTGGGTATCCAACCGAATCTTGGAATCCTACCCAGTGGGTATTGAAGCCAATCTTGGAACGATACCCAGTGGGCATCATCTGCAAGAAAAAAACAGAACGGTAGTCTTCTGATCCTGGACACATCCTGTGCATGCAGTGACCAGATAAACTCCAACCACCAGCCACCACCACCGGTGCGGTGTGGAACTGTGGTGCAATTGATGTTTCACAGGACTGGCAATGCAGCCGCCCACTAAGGGCTGTGTGCCCATTACAACCATCAAATGTACTGTTTACAAAGGGAAAAGTTCAGAAGGCACTCACTGCGCCTGCCCTGTGAAGTCTTGCAACATTTTCTCAAACTCTTGAAGAGGAGTCAATGAGGCAGAGTAATATTCATTGAAATTCAGCCTCATAATGAGATGCTCCAGCTCGACACTCCCACCAAGGGCCATGCTGTAGGAAGTGAGGAGACGAAGCAGGAAGGAGTGCGACTCCCGAAAGTCATGTGCCACCCGTTCCAGCTTCTGCCAATGATCCTGCTTGGCCCGCCCATCACACCAACTGGAGACACTGCGAATCAGGACACAGGCATTCAGCACTTGATCCATCAGGCCCAGCACACTCTTCCTCACAACTCGCCAGACCTTGTACCTCTCCAACAGACAAACACGCAGGACTCTTTCAAGCATGTTGTCGTGAGCTTGTTGTACACTCTCTACCGTGCCTGCTTCCTCTAATTCCTGCACATCGCAAGCACAAAACAGCATTCATGGCAGCTTGCCACCAAGGCAACCTTCACAGCATAGTGTGTTTCCACAACAACGCCAGCAGGCGAACACGTTTTGGATTGTCTTGTTGTTGTGAACTTGCCGAATGCCTTGTGCAGCAGGGAGCAAGCGGCACCAGAAACGAAGCACATGCACACTGGTTCTTCCCTTCTAGCCAGAAATCAGCACTTGCTGCATTCCATTGACCAATGCCTATGGCACAGAACTTCAAACAGGCTCACATTGCAAACAGGCAACCATACTGTCATCGTCACACACCCATGCACATCTAACGTCAATTTTGGTCTGAAACTGAAATGTAAGCCCCGTGTAGACACATGGCACTCTTATTTGTTCACGTTGCAAAGCACAACAACTTGAGGCAATACACAGTGCAGGCATTGTGTGCAACCAATATTGCACCCAGGCAAGGCTCCCAAGGCAGTACCTTCTCCATGTCGGCGCATGCCACATTGCATTGGTTCAGAACGTACTCTTGCAGGCTCCTTGAGAAATGGGACATTTCCAGCAGCAGGCTGTCAATTTGTTGTACACTGGCCCCTGACCCCACAGTGAGTTCCACACCTGCCATCATGCACCTACGATGCAGCAGCCGTGTCTCCTGCCATGCAGCCTCCAAAGATGCACACACCCACTGCAGCTGCAGGAGGAATACAAATGCCATGTTGTATCTGGATATACGCAACTCGTCCACAAACATGCACAGTGGCCATGCAACACGGTAGTTGATGCTGACCATCTGCAGCTCTGTCACCGATCTGGCACCACTGCGTCTGCTGTCAGAATGCGATCTCACAACCTCCAAGTTGACATCCACAGCCGTTATGCTGGGAAGGACTCCACCTACGGCACTGGACAAACATTCGTGCAGCTCCATTTCGACTTCAACCTGCCTCAGTTCTGACACATTGGTGCCTTCAATCAGCTGGCTGCACAGTTTGGAAGACCAGCTGATAATGGCCGGAGACATCAGCAGGTACATGTTGCTGAGGATCATGAACTCCCTCTTCATGCCCAGCTCTTCAAGGAGGCAGTACAGAAGCTCCCCAGTGATATCCTCGCACCTTTGCTTGATTTGGTGTAAAATCGTTTCCTGCATGACGAGTTGGGCTGGCAACATCGCTGATGGCAACATGTCTTTCTTCCTTCCCATCTCATGGTATTCCTTTAAACCCAGGTGGTGTTCCCCATGGACAGCATCGCCCAAGAATGGTGCCAAGCAGGTCGGTCGAGGCAGCACATGGACAAGCGCAGCATGCCTGGAATGGTAACGGGCATCATCCACACGTTCAAACTCAGCTTCCACTTCTTGCATTCCCTCCAACACAGTTGTGTATTCCTTTGGGAGGCCTTCACTATCACCTCCTTCCACTGACTGGTCCTCAGGGGTGAGGTTGGCATGCGTCTCACATTCACCATCAGGCCCTGACTGGGGCTCCATATCCATGCCCTCAGGAGAGTCATCAGCAGGGAAGTTGTCTTGCCACGTCGCCCCCCTGCTGTCACCTGCAGCATCGGGCATGTCCACTGAAGCTGCTTCCACCTTGTGCTCTTCAAGGTGGTGTTCATCGCACCCACCTGCTTCAGATTGCAGCAGCCAAGGCAAGATCAATCCGTGCCACTCAGGCAGAATATTGTGGCCTGCATAAAAGCCAGCAACCGCCATGCAGCCATAAACGGGGCTGGGGCAGTCAGGCACGTCATCAGCAGCCGCCATTAGGTTGCCCAGCTTCTTTAGAAAACTCTGATACAGCAAATGCTCCGATGCCTGGCTGGCGCCCAATCTGTCAGGCAGTCCTTTTGCGCTACCCTTGCGTATGTTGCCTCCCCTCAATGCATTCCAGTACACTTCGCCACTGGCGACCTCAAAAGATTCGTTGCTTTGCAGGACATGGAGTGCCTTCCCTGCTGCCTGTATGTCCTCAGCTATGGGAAACAAGAAAGTGGGAACACCCGGACCTGATGATCCTTCCCTCAATGGGAAGCCATTCAGCCAAAAATCCGCATTATTCACAGAACCTTTCTTATCTGTGCATATGAAGAATTCTTGTGACATGTCAGTAGTTTCCCCCCTCCACAGCCAATCTGTCAGGTTTTCTAGCAGCGGCTGGAGTGTCCCTGCCATCAAGTGCCAGAGCAGCTGCTGGTCGGATGTGCCTGCTGGCCCACCCGCCGTGTCGTAGTCCTCAAGCATGTCATACAAAGTGTCCAAAACATGGCAGCCCACATCCACTGGCTCCGGGCTTGGGCTGGTTACATATCCAAACACAGCTGCTGCACACTGATGCAACAGCGAAACTTTGTGATCTACCCCTTTCAAGATAGTCTTCAAGAGGACAAGGGAGGACGGCAAATCGTGCTGCAACACGTCAAGCTGCTGCTCAAGTTTGACGACTGGCTTGACAGCAGCAATTACCTGCTTCTCCAAAGCATCAGCAAAAGCAGCAAAGGTTGGTGCATTGGATGCGTTGCATCTTGAAGACCCGCCACTCGTAACTGCAGACCCCTGGTGACTGCATGTTTTTGTCGAGTGCTCCAACATTAGACGAACTTTTGTTCCTGTTTGAGCAAAACTTTGGAGGAAGCCCTGCAAACATGATATGGACACATCTGTGCTGTGAATGCATGTTGCATCAACAGCCAAGTGCTGATGGTCTGCCCTCCAACAAAACACAGGCCCAGAAACTCCTTGCAGTGCGCGTACACATTGTTGAAGGATAAATTTCGTCGTTGGCAGCTGTACAGGAGCCCCATCTTGCAATGAAGGCTTGGCCATGTCCAGCTGCAGCACAGGGGGTATGAGGTCCAAGTGCTGGAACGCTGAAGGTGCCTGCTGCCCAATGCCAGCAAACACTCCCCACTCCATTGTGTGCTGGCCTTCTGCCATGCTCCCCTCCCTGGTGGTTGGTGACATTCCTTCAATATCTGACTCCCCAGCAACCGAGGCACCCAGTCCATCCCTTCCTGCTGGCATCTGTAGGTCCTCTTCACTCCAATCTGAGAGTACTGATGGACTGCTACAGATATCAAGGCAGTTGTCCACATCATCAACATACGTCAGGATTCCTGACTGGTCTGGCTCCTCCAGTTCCTCAGGCATGCACCCAGGCTCCGCTAATTGATAAAAGCACAACTGCTCACTTTGCAAACGGGCTAGCATGCCATCAGGAAGGGGAGTCCTGGTGGGTCTGCGGCACAGGTAGAACAACAGCCGCAGGACCCCGCAGTGAATTTCTGGTTCTGTGCACACCCATGGGAGACTTAACAGCTGGTCTGTCAAGATCGACAGGGCCTGCTGCTTGTCTTCTTGTGCCTCCAATATAAGTCTTTCCTCAAGACTGCAAGATGAATGTGCACCTATCAGCAGGCTTCAGCAAGGAACACTGCCTGCAAAAACACGTTCTCGAAATGTTCTCCAGCAGCAAATCCAAGTCCCTCAGAAGATATACACACAGTAACTCCACACACTTGCCTTGCTGCAGTCTACATCACACAATGATCACGAATGCTTTCTCTTTCATACATACCAGAAAGGAAAGCCAACCTGGAAATTTTGTTGATACATCTTCAATGCAACATTCATGGTGTGGGGTTGTTACATCTTCATTTGCCCTGCGTGGGGTTTGTACTGGCACCTCCTCAACCCAGTTTCATCAGCTGCTTGCCAGCTTGACAAGATCTTTTCAAGAAAACTCCAAGACCATCCCGTTGGAAGCAGTGTCCACAGTCCATAGATAGCCCTTGCCCTTGATACTAACTCCTTAGAACCTGCTGCTCTGACTGCAATGAATTGCCCAAGGAGCACCATGACAAGTGGCGCTGATCTGATTCAATTCGAAATCCGCCTGAAGAAGGCCTTGCTGGATAGGACAAAGTCTTGCTGAGTTTGACCCAGCTTATTCGGCTAGACTGCCAGGAAAGCAACAGCAATTCCCTATGAGAACGATGCACACTTACAACGCTTGTCACATTCTCTGGGCTGCAGAGCAAGCGCAGCTGCCTGACGAAGTTAAAACTGCAAGTTGAATGCCAGTGCCATGCTCCTAATGCCCACATCACAATGTTTCCACAAGGTTGGCAGACAGCAAATGAGCTCTGGTGAACACACTTTCAGTGCGCGGCCGTGATACCCCATAAACTTGCCCTTCCCCTCCCGCGCATCACCCTTTGCGCCACAAAGGCACTGCCCAATAAGTCCCTACCTCTTGTAGAGCCCTTCAACGTCCGTTGGGTCCGTGTCAAGGAAGCGGTGGTTCTGCAACTTGCGCTTGCTAGCACGAAGGGCGCCAGCGGTTTTGGTGCCCTCGGGGCAATCCTGTGGCAACATGGGCAAACGCTGCCAGTCAGCTTTCGACCGGCGTTTTCTCCAAACAACGGACGATCCTGCAGAAACGGATCCCTGGTACCTTGAAGAGGTGCTCTACAAGCTGCTGCAGCAGCTGAGACCGCTGACGTTCTATTTCCGCGCCGTACTTGGAGGTCGCCATGAGCCCTGTGCGGCCACTGAGGCCCCCCTCTCATGCCCCCCCCACAACAGAAACACCAGGGGGCCTGCGTTTCTGTCACGATGTGATGTCCCGTGTATCCTACCAATTTCTCCGGTGAGGATTTCTCACACGAAGGGAACCAGTTTCATCCATTCTCCAATATCGTATGTTTTATTATCTTGCCCTTTATCCGTCACCCGAAGCAGGGTGACTTTCGGCAATGCTTTGAGAGAAGAGTTAAGGAGAGATGCAAGTCAAGCAAGCGTTTGGGACGATTAATCAACTTTGGTCAACCCAAGAATGGACCTCCAGTTGGGCGTCTATCGTTCTTGTCCCTCTCACTGGACTGGCCTGTGTCTCCCAAATGCAACCAATTCACCAACGAATCCTCCTGTGGCCAGCCTGGGCGTACACTGCTCAAAAGGAAACGCAAACATGTTCAGAACGTTTGGGCTTCAGGAGCGGAAACGGGAACGCCAGCAGTACGTTTCAAACTTCCAAACGGAAACGTGAATGTTTGCCGCACGTTTGGGTTTTCAAAACCGTCCTTGGTATTTACACCGTGAACACAAATTGTGTTTACGTTTTCATGCGTAAAAATGCATAAAAATGCGTAAACACAACGTAAATACAGCCCGGTGTACATAAGAACAGTACACACAAACATAGGGAGTCCAGGGAGTGGCAGGCAGACGCGCTGGAATGAACGGAAACGAACTTTTGTTCCATGCCGTCGTAGCCCCTGCCGAGGGCGAGGTGGACACTGTGTTGCAGGTGCTGGATTTGGCGGAGGACTGATCAATGTACGTGGCTTTCATCGTGTGTCTCGGGTGTCCCAACGAGCAGCAGAACCGCAAAAATAGCGGCAAAGATAGGCCCTTTCGCAAGGTTACGTTTTTGCGCATAAAAACATGAACGCGAAAACGTAAATACCAAGCCAGGTCGAAACGGGAACGTGAACGTGCCCAGCGCGGTCGGGCATCTAAACGGAAACGTGGACGTGGACCAACCGTTTCAGCAATGTGAACGCTGGCGCGAGCTTTGATCAGCAGTTGCATTTCCAGAGTTTCATGAAAAGCGATCGGTGGGTGGACATCATCGGCGATCTCCAAAGCTGGCGATATTGGCTGTATCCTTGGTAGCAGTAGGCACCCACACTCGCCACAGCCGCACAACAAGTCGCTTTGAGCCACCGTGGTGGTGGTGTCTTGACAATTCGCCAAAGGGCATCACGACAATTTGGCCCGCCCCCACCCGCCCGGCGCTTGGCGTGGGAAAGTTTCGAATATGCTCGAAATCGGCGCCCACGCTGGGTCGGCCAGCCCCCGTGAATCACAATCAGGCACACTGCGATCCTCCTTCGCGATTGTCTCCACCGTTCCCAGGATCCCACATCCTTTGGGCTTTGCCGTCTGGCAGTAAACTATAGCCGTACTGCGTGTGCATTGGAACTGTCAAACGTAAACGTGAAGTGGACGTCCGGGCCATTGAAACGCGAACGAAAACGTGCGCAGTACGCTGGGCGGTCGGAACGGGAACATAAACGTGTGTCACGCATTTGTGTTTCCAAAACGGGAACGCAGATGTGTCGTTCTCCTTCCGTTGGCGTTTCCGCCCAGCGCAACGTAGACGAAAAAACGTGCTTGTTTGCGCCCACCCATGGACATGAACTTTGTGGGGGTATGATGGCTTCAAGCTGTAATGTGAGCTAATCATTTGTTTCTTTATGCTGACGAAGCGAGGTGCTTCGCAAAGGCGCGAGGGCCTCTTTGAGCTGCTTATACAATGACCCCCAACACACTGGCCGCCAGGCACTTCCAGGGCATTCGAACCCAACGTGGTTTACCACCCTGCACTCCCCGCAGCCTGCCAGGCCTCACAGGAGGTGCGCCAATCCCAACAGTGTATGTGCGAGTACTTGTGTTTTATTGTGTACTCCACGTGTCACTGTGATGGACATCACGCCCTCGTCTGCGGTGGCCTCCCGCAAACCCATGCTCCCCCTCGGCTAGCCACAGGGGATCGTTCCTCATTGCTCCGATCTGTCCATGTAAAAGTGCCTGGCAGGTCGTTCTGCGATCATGGATGTGCGTTTGCCCTTTCATGCTGCGCTTCGTATTCGCCGCGTGGGCTGGCAGGGCGGGGTATCGCTGCAAGTCAATTGCACGCTCTGGAGCGCCCAACACAATACACTGCGTGTCGGGCAGGTGTATCGGGCATGTGCATCGGCATGCTGCCGTCCATGTCCATTGGTTGCGTCGAGGTAATCTCCGTCACTCTGGTTCGCTTACGGTTAGCTCTCGCAGCGAATCCCGGAATTCTGGACAGCACAGGTGATGGACCACAGTTCATGACCACCCTTCACCTTTTCTGCTCTTCCTTACTCACCCACTGTTTCTGATGTAGCCTGTCACTGGCTAAGTAGGTGTAAGGGACCACGTGTCAGAGAAACCACGATTAGCTAATCAACAAAACTGGAGAGCAATTTCAGGAAATGGGCACCACATTCTACGAGATAATAATGTTCAATGGAAGAAAATTTCCAGGTTGAGGGAAGTTTGCGCGATACTGGTTTTCCTACACAGTGGAGCGTGCGATTAAAATGTGGGTACATATCTGTGTTCTCAAAATATGTGAGAATGCTGTCTACCATCACTTGTGGGTTTAGGGCGTCTTCAGTCCGCAGGGGAACTGGATCTTCGCAGTACACCTGCTGGAATGCACTTATGAGCTGTAGGTGCACATGTCGATTCAATTGTCCCCCCTCGAAGCAGCCAATAATGCACGTAGGTGTACACCAGCCCATGCTGAGACCAAGCAAATTGTAAGCCATACTCCATGCAGGCTGAGCTGGAGGATGCTATGAAGCATGCCACAGGAAAACTAATATTTTGGCCGGCTGGCAAAATAAATTCTCTACAGCCCAACTGTTGCTTCATATTGTAGCGAACACCAAATCGCTTCGGCCATTCACATTTCGGCCGACAGCAAATGCTGAAGCGTTCCGTTCAAGAGCCACTGGCACACCGCCCTCCATATCATCAATCCTCAAGTGCAGCACTGCATTGGTGGTGCTGCGCTGGCGCAGGTTCTGTGGATTCCCGATAGGGACGATGGCCTTTGCTCTCTGTGATTTTCCTATGTTTCAGGGAAGACGCTATTTTGATTTTGGTACGCTTAACGTCAAATTAACGTTATAGGGGGGGCCCCCAAGGCGTGAGGCTAAGAAATTGTGTAATTGCACTAAAACCAAGGTGGGAAGATGAACAAAAAAGGGCCCTGATCAGCGGCAGATAGCTCGTGGCGTGGTGCAAAGCTTCCCTCAAACCTTCAATCTGCGAGGAAGTCCTTACAACGGATCAGTTTTCAGGCTTTTGGGTTGCTCCATTCACCTATATGGCTTTTGACATCCCATTTTTCAAATAACTGCAATTGTTACAATTTTGGCTGTGTTTTGTCCCTTAAAATTATTTGGAAGTTGTGTGGCACAGTTAGGCAATGTTGCTGAGTCATCCTAGCATCGACATAAGGACTGACGTTAAGGGGGGGTCTGAGCTTAACGTCAATTTGACATTAACCGTACCAAATTCGAAATACCGTCTCCCCTTAGCATGACCAGAGTAATCAACAGTCCGCAATTTAAGCACACCAGCCTCGTCGACGTTTGCAAATTTTGAAGCCGCCAATCCGACTTTCAGTGGCCCTCTGCTGCTGCTGCCGCCGCTGCGCAGAAATCTGGTGCACTGTCTATCATGTCTTCAGGGCACCAATACCCCAGATATTGGCAATATAAGTGTTGAAGCGACGCCACACAGCAAAAGAGCTTCCCCGCCCACCACCCACAACGATGATACCTTCTTAAACGTGCAAACAGGGAATCATCGCGGGTGCTCACATTGACTTTATCATAAACATCCAGTGTCCGCTCAGCGACGCGGGCCCAACTGTACATTGTCTTCACCCTCAGATGTTGACCGTGTACATCCACGCCATGGATGCCATCGATGGCTTGATCAACTGCTTCGAGGATGGAGTTTGGCTCGGGCTCGGCAAGAATCATCATATCCAGTGGAAGAACCTGCCCATAGACAAACAGGAGGAACACTTGCCGATAGTGTCTGCCACCAGCTGGTGCTGAAGATGACACACTGTGGATCAATTGGATTCAGCAAGGTTAATCGAGAGGAGCGTCCCTCTCGTTTCCAATCATCAGGTCTCCTTGTACTGTCAATGAACAAAAGGCACAGCGTTATTTGTGTTGTTCCTTTGCCCAAAATGATGCATCTGCTTTAAGAAGTACTATGTTCGGCATTCATCAATGATCAAAAATTGTGTCTCGTAATCGTGTGAACCCACCAGTGTCAATACACTTTCCCACCAACAGCGAAAATATTTGTCACACACCACGTTCACCCTTTGGGGTTGAGCTAAACAGTTCTGCGTGACAACGGCAACCACCTCAGGTAGTGTACCCACAACCCATCTGACTATGCATGCGGCAATCACCTCGGGTACGCCACCAACGCGCGTTGACACGACCCTCAACCCCACAGACGCAGCCTCAACTATCGCCATGCAGAAGGCCTCTGTTAAAGATGCGTTCAAGAATATTTGTCCACGTGCCTGCACAAGCCAAATGCACAGCAGCGTGAGCACAGCGGCACATCCTAACAGAATGCACGTCAATGCCAGGACCCCATTTGGAACGCCCAACACACGCCCCAGCCAACTGCCCCGTGCCATGGAGACATGCCCAAAAACACAAACGCCACTAAACAAAGCATGCAAAAGTGTGGTGAGATGTGCACATTGGTGAGTCCACACATGCTCAGCTAGAACTCCACTTTCTGGAGCTTACCAGAATTTGTCTTGCTTCGCTATGGGGTACTGCTGGATGCAGTGTGACTTGGCTGTGAAGATTCTCACGGTCGACAATGCGCTCCAGAACTCTGCGCTTAGGCCCGTCACCACCTGATTCGCACTTATACCTGTCTTAGAATCGTGCCAGAATGCATTGTGTAACAGGCAATGATTATGTTGGACTTGACAGCCAAGGAGATACTCTGCAGGTAACTTTTCAAAGAATCCTGCTAGTGATCAGCACCTGCCAAAAAAGACAGTAAACGAGCACACTCATATTGGGATAGCATCAACGGAAATGCAACCTCGAACACCAAATCTGCTTCGTTCTTACAAATGAGGACCTTGACTTTGGGATGCCGCCGACATATGTCTGGAAGGATGACTGCCAAGAGGTCAATGCCTTTCCTGTAGACAAGGCGTGTCAATGCAACGATGGTCACTACATCCTGCTCCTGAGCAGATGAGTCTGGGGTGAACTGGCTGGCATCGACAGCTGGATCACCAACACAGAGGGCAAGACATTCAATGAGAATTCAAGACTGTCAACAGGGAAACATGTCCCTCGTAGGCAAGAACTCTTCCCCAAAGAAGACTTTTCCAACGTATTCTGCCTTGGCACTGCAACACAGCCAAGAGCATATGGAATGAAGCATTTGCAGTGTCCTATCAGATGGCTAATCATGCTTGTTCCCACTGTCCTGAGGTCCAAGTTTCTTCTGAGATGGATTGAAGGCAACAACCCAACCATGGCACAAACCCACTTGGACACAAAGTTGTTGAGACAAAATTTGCCACGGTTTTGCCGTTCCCACCCGGGTGCCTCACCATTAGGGATTACTGAAACCCATGAGGGTGGCAAGCAGGCCCTCAGCACTGTGTTTTCTTTGCTTGTGTGTGAAACACAGATTGTATGATGAACGTCTGCCAAGATGAACTTCAGGACTTTGTTCATGAGGATGCTTGAAGCATCCGCAAAACCAAACAAGGAATGATCTGTGAAGACCACCTGTGAAAACGCAAGGGAGGTCCTTAGTCAGTCTCGTCTGGCAGCACCATTGCAGATGTTGCGACGCATCTTCATGGCACAGACAGAACACAATTGAAAAGAAGAAGGCAACAAGCACACTGCAATGCATCTTTGTTCAGATGTTGCTTGGCCAGATTTGCACCCACAGCACCCCATTCATTCATCCCCCAACATGCACATTTCATCCCAATCCATCCCAATATCCGTATCATACAATTATCAGAATACATCATGCCAACAGCATCGATTCAATGTCCACTCCCATGGGGCATAAGATATTTCCAATGGGGAAAACTAAGGGAACAAATCGTCCATCATTTTTATGCATGGACCACAGCGATTCACTCTCATACCTGATGTCTGGTACTGATTGCATCATCATGCACTTTCCCATCTTAGATTTGACAGTTCATCCATGTCAAGAATGAATCATCAAGGATGCCAGGTCACATAAACCAACATTGCGCCACAAAGGGTAAGCAGCTCTGTGAGTCTCAACCAGCAATGGGACCCTCACCTTCATACCCATCGTCCTTGCCTGCAGGATAGCATGAAGCCCGAGTGATGAGAATGCCTGATGGCAGTGCACTAAATTGATGCGTTCCCTGATGATGATATTGCGGAGCAGTTGAAACCCACCAAATATGTTTGGGAATGTGCTCTGACAGTAGATAGGGACCCGTGGTGCATAGTAGACCTGGTCACGGGCAACCAAACTGAACAACAAGGGCCTTTCCCTCAATTGCGATCGTTAGAACACACAAACAACAGTGCAATATTGTGTTGGCAACCTATGCGGATCCTTCCCTCTGCGTGCTGACCTTCTCACGTTTATGGCCATTCCTTTCAGCACCATAGGACAAATCTTTGGCCCTGTGCCACCCTCCACTATCACAAAGTGGCATAAGGCCCACAAGTGCTCTGCTAGGATGCGACCCACACACAAACACTGGCATGGGTTGCAAAATACGATAAACTAGAAGTGAACCTATCACTAAAAGCTATCTGCAAGGGTGCCCAAAGCACTCAAACAATTAGAGGCACATGATTCCTGGGGTGTTTCTATTCGCTGGCCAAAGCTGAGGCCTTGTATGTGGGAAAAGGGTTTTCAAGTACGCCCTTCAATGCACTCTTGCTGTGCATCGATTATTAGTGGCTGAGCACACTTGCCAGTTTGCAGCAATGAAAATCCATACCACTGGCAATGCCAATGGTATTCTGGCAGTGCCAGAATTCATTATCTGCCCAGTACCGGGAAACAAAGGCTTACAAAGACAAGTAGGCTGAGGTTGGCAAAAAGGCATATGCACAACCAGGGAGTTTGACCACAACAAAAGCATGACACCTGCATGGCTGGGTGCATGTGCGACTTGGCAAAACAGCGCTGTCTGTGGATGTGGCAACAATTTCAGGTGCCTGCTGCTGGCCGCCACACCCCCTATGGACGCCTTGTGAGCAGCCCTACTTTCAGCTGTGATGCCACTCCAAAAACACATCTGTGCCGCAACGATGTTCAAACCTTCAGCTGGCAAGGGCGCACCCTTGTGCCCATTTGCTGCCCAGCAACGACTGCACTTGCTGTCCATCTTCAGAATTGGGGGCTCTGTACCTTCAATCCATTCGTCAGATATCGCACCCCCGAACGATCGCCATACGCATGGGTGAAAACCACTACCTGGACACAACAACGCCTTCTCACCAGCAACGAATTTCGTAAATCCATCAGACCGTCCCCAAGACCTGGGGCATGAATGGCTCTGGCGCAATTTAAACGTCGGGATGGCGCTGAAAAACATAGTGCCCAGTGCTGGCGGCCTAAGTTTCTTCACACACTCCTTTCCTCAAACATCTGCCTGTTTGTTCATGCCATCCTCCACGACGTCCAAGATCAGCAGGGTCGACATGAAAGTGCGTTTGGTCCCATTGGCTTGACACAAACGCGCCAGTTGCCAGCCTTTCGCGAAGCAGAAACACAGCGCCAGAAAGGATCACTGGCGCCGACGGCGGACTTCCCCTGACAAGGCCTGAGGGGCGCCTGATCGTTTGCAGAGGTGACAATCGCTCCGCAGCATTCACGTTTCCTGCGATGGCTGGTGCCGTTATGCCCCAACGGGCCTGCGGACCTTGTGACCTCGTAGAATCATACACTGCGACAACTGATAGATGTGGTTCTCGACCCCTCCGCAGTTCGGGTAGAAGAAGTCGCTGACCATCAGAATTCTATGCATCGTGCAGGCCAGTCAGCAACGATGAATTGCAGCCGAAAGTGCTGTCTCACGGTGGAGCTGATGCCCACTTGGGTGCCACTTGGGGCCTGGGCTGACTTGTGTCCACGGGGCGGTGGGCGCGTCGAAGGTTTATGCCCCGGCCTCGCCGTTCGGCAATTGGAACGTGCGCCTGGTCTGCAGCAAATACAGCCCGTGTACATAAGGACAGTACATACAGAGTTGGGGAGTCCAGCAAGTGGCAGTCAGACGCGCTGGAATGGGTAGAAAGCGAACTTTTGTTCCACGCCGTGTGTTGCCCTTGCCGAAGGCGAGGTGGGCACTGTGTTGCGGGTGCTGGAGACGGCGGAGGACTGATCATTGTACACAACTTTCATCGTGTAACCTGGCTGTCACAACGAGCTGTAAAAACGTAAAAATAGACGAAAACATAGCCCCTTTACGCGTAAAGCCGTAAATAATAACTTGCGAAACACGTAAACGTAAACGACAACCCAAGCCTGCTTGTGTATGATGTGACTTCGCATTTGGGAGCCTTCCTGTCATGAGAATCAAGGATTGTCGACTACTAGATGATCCATGGCGCGCTGTTCAACCGTCCGCTCTATGCAATTGACAGAGTGGCCATGATTCTTGGGTCAGTGGTTCATAAGGGATTTAAAAACAGCGGCATTTGCTCCAGCGGGTGCGACAAGAATGTTGATTGGCAGCAACACGGTAGCCTGGGTGTGTCATGCGGTCAGGGATGGGCATCAAGGAACACTGATCTAAATCTGTGGCTAACCATGACAGACCTCAGATCGTTCTGGGTACGGCATACGGCATGTCGTGCCCATGCGTGGCGCACAGGACTCGTGCCACGCTCTGACGCGTCATTCGCACCGTCGTCATGTCTGCGGCCCACTTGCGTATTTTGGGCTGGAGGCTGTGGAAGTGTGTCTGCACAGTCACACGCTTGTCACATGTGTAAATCGCGCACAGCAACCCTTTGGCCTGGGGTGCAAGGAGAGGAGAAGAGCGTGTGAAGCTGTTGAGTGAGGCTGGAGGTGGCAATCGTCCCTGACGACGTCTTGGTGGCCATGGAGAGGAAGGAGTGGACGGGCGCAGCTGTGAAGGTCACTCCAGGACTCCATTGAAGGTGGCATTGACTGCGGTGTGCAACTTCGTGAGCACAGTGCTGATTCTCAAATTTTGTGATGCTTGCACAAGCTGGACAGCCTCGCGCGTTGCACACACACGGTCTTTTGAATAACCCAGCCCGCTGCATGCTGCCTTTGCGGTTTGCAGACCAATAAGATGGTGAGGTGTGCTTGCTTGCTCATAGAGCATGCAACAAAAAGGGAGGATATCGTGTGTCAGTTCGTGATGCCTGTGCACAGGACAGTCTTTAGGATTGTCAGGCTAGAGGCAGAATCTCTGAAACCCATCCTTGTGTGGACTATCTCTTTGATGCCAAGGGAAATATCCCAGGGTCACGCTTCCTTGGAATGCAAACACGGCGAAGGCCACAGGGCACAAAGTCCGTCATTGGATCCTCTGGGCACTCTTTGCCCTCTAGCATTGATAGACAGTGAAAGCACATTCTGTTGACTTGCCTGGCAGGAATTGGTGTTGGCTGCAACATTTCGCTCAGTGCATTGCACCTGGGCTTGTGGATTGGTCATCTCTGGGTTCATTGTCCTCTAGAGAGCGGATAAGTGGCAGTCACTCATTCGCTGAATACAGCAGTCATACATGGAGGCCACTACACACTGCGAATGTGCCCTCAAGAGGCCTGTCGCCAATGCAATTTGCGTCGGACTTCCCTTTGCCATACAGGGGATACATGCACATGGTCTCAAGGGCATCAGCCCAAAGGTGGGGGTCGGCTGCGCTTTGGCAATAAAGCCGTTGACTCAGTGCTTTTGGAAGACGGACAAGAACATTCTTCAACCATTCTTAGCGACCCGACTGCACTACAAGACTATATCCTAGATTACTGCTCATCAACTGCCATTGGCGCATATCAAAAACATGCATATGCTGTGGACAGAAGCACCCTTTGCTCTTCAAACCCTAGAATTCGCCCTGCAAATGGCTGCCAAACACTGTTGTCAGCAGCCACAGGAGCACAGGACTTCCAGACAATCCATGTGGCCTACGTAGCACTACATCAGATTCCCAACAGGCTTGGGTGAATCAAGGAAGCTTCCCCTGGAAAAACCCTTGAGTGAATGAGTGCATCACTCCCCTGCAGCCCATCATCGTTTCCTGGATCACTGTGCTGCAAGGTCTGAGAAGGGCTCGAAACCCCAACGGCATTCTGCACATGATGGAATGAGGCTCCAACCTGCTCACTCCCAGCTGGCGTATTGCTCTCAGCACCACCACTTGTCCCTGCTTCAACTGATGTGTTGGGCAAGGGGCAGCCCGGCTCCATTCGAGGCCTCTTTACAACATGCTCCAGCTCTGTGTCACTGTTGTTTGGGCCCAAAGCATCCGCAACCACAGCTGGGCCAAAACGTTGTCGAGCAAGCTCAAGTTTATAGTGATCCAGGTACCTATGTATCTCACACACTACACAATCAGCGAAAAGTCATTGCTTCAACACAAACATCTGCACACTCCAAGACAAAGGACAGGCGTGCTTGAATCCTCTGGTGTATTGGGGACAAAACTTACCCTACTCTGTCCAACGCAGTCACCAAATGGTCACAGTGCTCAACGGTCAGAGTAACCAACAGGAAAAGCATTCCAGCAGAAGTGGATATATAGCGTTAGGCACAGGGTGTCCACCACCTCATCGCATGTGCTCTCCGTGCACAGGGAATAGGCAGCCATAGATGTCCCTGTTGAATGAATCCCCAAACACATACACGGCACTGCATGAGCCATACCCCACCAGTGCATTCTCCACAAAATGTGTTCGCCTATGTGCACCCCTCCTAAACAACCATCACAGCAATACCGCACTTTCTCCCTGTGTCGTCATACACTGCAAGGGAAATTTCCATAGCTGCACTCACTTGCCACAATACTTCACAGTCTTCCATCCATCATCAGCTTTTCTTGACGGGTTAACCATCCGCTTCACAAATATGGAGAAGGCGCTGGGCGAGTCGAAAACTCTATCTGCCAGGCCAAAAACAACAGAACAGCTGTTGATCAACAGAACCCATGGAACAGTGCAACCAATCAAGGTGTGGACATGGTCACAGCTGTTTCAGTGGGCAACTTGCAACAGGGAATACACAAAACGCTGTGCCCACCTTTCCATTGTATGCGCCCGTCTGTCAACAGGTCACCCGTTTCCTGAAGGCCTCGGTACTCCAAATTGAGCACTGCAGGGCCAGGCTGCAGCAGTCCCTCATCAATGAGAAGCTTCAAAGTAACGCCTCCTGGGCGTGGACGATAAGAGGAGGATTGTCTTGGCTTTGACAATCGCAATTCTTGCTGCCGTCTCAGGAGCTCCTCTTTCGCTTTCATGGCCTGCACAACTCCTGCACCTTAGCCCAAAGGTGGCAGAAAAGTTGCCAGCTCACTTTAGGCACAGTACAATGGAGGTTTCCTTCCTGGGAGGGGGCATCTATTGCCATAGGGCCATCAAACACTGGAATCGGTTGCAAGATGCTTTCTGGATCAATTACTCACCCTCTGTATCAACTCGCCATCCTCATCAGTATCTGTGCAGCTGCTGTCGCCAGCTGACCTATCCCTGTCAGCAACTTCCTGAGCATCAGCACTGTGTAGTGGCAAACCAGTGCCACCAAGAGGCTCCTGCGCTGCACTGGTGCCACCATTCACAAGCGCTTCCCGTGAAGCTGTTGGGCTGTGCACAGGCACAGCAGCTTCCTTCTTGATCGCCAGCTTTTGTCCAAAAGATATTCTAATTTTAAGGCCCCTTGCAGCACTTCGCTGATCGTCAGATTGACGCACTCCAGACAATTGGTGTGATGACAACTTCCCTGACAGTTGTGAAGGCCGCTGTGGTGGGAGCTTGGGTGCATCCAACGAAGGACCAACAGCTTCATTTTCGCTGCCAGCTACAGCCTCTCCAGCAGCATCCTGAGGGATGCTCTCTGTGCTGCTTGTGGCATTGCTTATCGCATCTTGGTCCCCATGAGAAAGGTTTGGCGATGCACTGCTGTCTGCCGAGTAAGTATTAGAAGAAGATGGGTATGTCGAAGAATTGATTGTTGCACTGTGCTGATGCCCGGGTTGAAAGGTGTGAGAGCGCTGGTGGTCTTCCGGTCCACCAGAATCCATAGAATCCACTTTCTCCCAATCTGGGAGCTAAAAAGACTGCCTGCAGTCCCAGAGAGCTCGAGGGCCTCAGACCGAGGGAAATTCAAGCAAGGCCGCCACGCCTCTGTCGAGCGCAATACAGAGGGCACCCGTCAGGGCATGTAACGACAACGAGGCTCCCTTCAGAAGCCGCGGCTCCGGAGAAGAGCGCAACAAGAGCCCAGATTGTTGCCAGGACTGCTGAACAATGCAATCGCGGGGCGGCAGCCACAACTGCAACAGCACCGGGTTACAAACGGCGGACTACTTGCCGGGCGTCGACCACAATACAATTATTGCCGCGGCAACCGCAGCGTGACACAATCGCCACCAACAGCAAGCCGTTCGTGAACACAAGCCCGTGGACCCAAGCGGGACAAAGCCACGCCCTCGCCCCCATTCGAGGTCACAAACCAATACAATCAATGACCGCGCTCCAAGGCATGATGGGCGTCGATTGAAGGGCGTCGGACAGCTCAGACCTTGGAAAGTGGCCAAAGAACGTCGTGAACGCCGAACCTCCTAGCCAGCGCACAGTCCGAAATGGCGGCCCCATACCCATCCAAGTCCGGCGACGCAGGAATCACCTTGTCGTTCACGCCCCTGCCCGTCTCGGAAGGCAGAAGAGCGGTCACCCCGCTACGGCCTGGGCGACGGTTTGCGCGTCTCGACGCGCCCACGCCGCAGCACAGGACGCACCCTGGCCGTCCACCCACCACACCCTGCTCCCCCAGCGCCGAGGCAGCGGTTGGGGACAAGCACTTGCCCAAATAGCGAGTTCCACCCTCTCGCAATTCTTGCGCAGGCGACGGTGCGCCCCGTGGGGCCCGCTCGTAACTTGCGACAGTAGGTGGCAGGGCGGGAACTCGAGCCGGAGACACACGGCACCCCAAATGCGATGTATCGGTACGGGCTCGGGGGCGCCGCGGATTCAGTAGAATCGACTCGGGCAGCAAACATGTCGCGGCCGCAGTGTCCGGGCCAAGATTGTCGGGCGCCGCGGTGGCTTGGCGTCCTCTCCTGCGCACCTCGCCAAGTCCACGTGGCTTTCCCGCTGTGGAAAGAAACCCGATGGAAAGCGGGAAAAGAGTGATGGAACCAGGAAGTCTTGGCGCAGCGCAGCCGTTCCTTGGAAGGCGGGTTTCGGGGGGCGGGGAGCGGCCTCAGCTTATCGGAACAGGAAGGATGTGCTTTCCGTCGGGGCTGGGCAGGGGCAAAGCAGTTAAATGCGAACAACTTTGGCGGTGTTTGCACGCTTGTAGAACAATGGACATCACGGTAACAAGGAACATTTTGTACGCGACATACAACCATAGGTTGTTCCTCATGTTCCTGCGCGGGAACGGGGCTGTGCCCCATTTACAACTGTCGCATGTCGCAGCTGCAAATAAGGCATGGCCCCGTCACATAGCCAGCGGAAGACTCAGGGAGAACATCCACCACCTTCCTCACGGTGTGGTCGGCCGGGGTGCGTGGCCGTGACCATGCACAGCGCGTGGACATTCTTGTTGCGTTCCCTTGGGGATATGCGCGTCAGAAGAGGTGCATGTCCGTGAGGTTACTGTGAGATGACAGGACGAGAATGTGTCCTACTATGGGTCAAACGTCAGTTGGGGACGACAGCCTGTGCGCCCCAGAAAAGGCGTTGGTGTGTTTTCAGGACGAGGCTGACGCAAAACAATGTATCCTGAGTTGGGGCCGTGTTGATCAATAATGGCTCCAGCTGTCCCTGGTAACAAGAGGAGCTCTGTTCTCTCCTCCTGCTGTGAACTGCTTACTTGCGAAATCTTGTAAATGTCGGAGAGAAATGCTGGTGAATACAGTATGCAGATTTGTTGAGAAGGACGGAGGCTGGTGGCCAGTGACCACCATGTTCAACAGGTCACTGCCCTGCATCCGTCCCAACATATCCGTGTGCCATATTCACCATCATTTTTCCTCACATGACCCAGCGCCTGGCTGGATCGTGAGTCACGTGCACAGTTGGGGCACTGAAATGAAGGCGAGTTTGGCAAACAGTCTCAGACGCACACCCGCAGTGCATACAATTGACAACACGACGGCAGCATTTCCGGAGAAGCGAGAACGGGAATTATACAAACAGCTCAATGATAACTGCTTAAGGTGACGTGTTCCACGTCAAGATACGCAGCATGCACCATGCAGAATAGGACCGAAATATCAGCACAGCTGCACAGCGGCGACAAAGACACCATATGAGGGGCCTTGACCATCTTCGTAAAACATTGTTCCTTGTTGCTCGGGTCACCAATAATGAGTCCATTATGGCTCAATTATGCGCCATTCAGTTGCGACAAGCTGGTGCCCCGTGAGGCCCAGAGTTGGATGGTATGGGACTCCAGTATGGTGGAGCCATGGCCAGCCCGGGTGGAATCGTATGGACGACACGGCCCTTTGGGATGGTATCGGCAGCATCGGCTACGGCGACAGGACCCAGGGTCAGCGACAACCCGACAGAGACTCTCACGTAACCTGGCCAACTAATCAGCGCAGCCCCGGAAGTACATCGGAAGCCACGCGACTCGGGGGGGCTCTGCGCCACCCCCAGGGGCAACGAGTCCCCACACCGCCACGCAGTTCCTGCCCGCGGGCAGGCGACCCACTCTACGCGTCCAGGGGAAGGCAGGGAAGGATCCTGCCGCGGAAAATCGGAGCAATGCCCACTGTGGGATCGGGCGGCTCCGTGCGCACCCATGGGCCGGCGATGGAGGGGTGCAGCCGCACGGTGGTCTCATGCACCCGTGCCGGGCTAGCCCCCTTCCGCCGGGGGAAAGCGACCGCCTCCCTGAGGCCTTTCAGTCTGCCCGTAACGTTTGCAGGGCGGGGCCCTCTCGGTCAAGAGCCCCCGACCCCAAAGCCCCGGACCCGAGTGGCTGGGACTCGATGGTCCGGGCGGGTGCAGACTGCGTGCAAGGCCACCCGTGCCAATCTGAGCCGGTGGGTTTACGGAGGAGGGGCTTCCCGCCGATCTGACCGGGAAAGGTTTGCGGCGGCGCCCCTGTGGGAGAAACGCACCGGCCCGGAGGCCTGGGCGGGGCAGCGAGGGGGTTTGCGGGGTGGCCAGCTCCGCGACTCCACGGACGGGCCCTGGAGATGACTCAGTGGGAAATGGGCGTGGGCGCGCTGTGATGAGGAATCGCGGTAATCGGTGGCAGAATCGGGCGGTATCGGGCGCTGTCATTTTGGACTGTATGTTGTGGCATCGTGGGCTGCACGGCAATGAGCCAGTTTGGGTACACGCCTTTCAGGCGATCATTATGGGGAAAAGGCGGTCATTAAGAAGCGGAGATGATACAGGGTAATGCGGAAGTAATTTAGGAAGCGAATGGTATTTTCAGTTTTTCATTTGGTAAAGAAGTGGGAAAGTTAGGGGGATTTTTTGAGATGCGCCGGATGGCCACAGGAAACCAGGCTGTTCGGAGCGCCTGGGAGGTGACTGATGTGACTGACGATCAGTAGGGGGGTGCGGACTGGGTGTTGTGCGATGCATGCATGAGATCCATGCGGGTTTTGACGGTGTGAGTGAGCAGCAGCCCTCCGTGCCGCCAGTTTGCTGTGCAAGATGTCTGGCGCTCCGAGCATCCCTTCGCATGCTCCTTGCCTGGACAAGGTACTGGAGTGGAGGCATGCGCAGGCCTTGCCGGGCCTGAATGAGGTCAAGGACCTCTGCGGACAGTTGGAAGAATTCCAGGTGGCGCGTCTGGCAGCTCCTGAGGTGCATGCATCGGGGTCGAACGGACAGCCCCAGGAGGACACGGCATGGCGGCGGGCGCGAGACCTCCAGAAGGCTTTGTTGGAAGTCTGGGAGGCATCTCTTTCAGACGACCGACATATATACGCTGCGGTCCAGACGGCGGGCATGGAGTTCCAGCTTTCGCTGGACATGTGCAAGATCGCCCCCGCTGTGAGGGCAGAAATTGCGATGCAGTTTGAGACCATGTGTTACATGGGACTCAAGCCAGCCTGGGACGCAGCACGGCGGGATGTGGAGGTCTCCGAGCTGCGGGCGTTGGACAACAAGCCTGTGATTTGGAGGGCGCTTACAAATATTGAGGATGACATTCGGGCAGCGAGGCTGAGGGTCATCGACGAGTTTTTCCACCAGCGTTTGGCGGCAAGCTCAGTGGAGGAAGCGCTGGCGGAGGACAACGAGTTGCGTCGTCTGGATGAAGATCGCTCGTTCGTGATGCGGCTGCCGCCCACACCCCCAAGACAAGATTTTCGTTCGCCTGCCTTGCGAAGGGCCATAGGCGAATGGCATGCCCGCGACATGGACATCAAGGAGAAGTGGAGGTTTGACGCCATACGAGTGGAGATTCAGGGGTGGCTCCAGGGCCACAAGCCCATTCCCGAGTTCGACCGCGAGGAGACGCCCTCCGCTGAGAAGCATGGGTGACGGTGCGGTCGCGGAGCGCGGGACCCAGCGGCCGGGTAGGTTTTCTATTGATGTGACAGGTAGACCCTGACTGGACCGTATATGGGGATCAAGGGGATGCCCAGGGGTTGACGGGAGGACACCTGGGAGATGTTTTTGCGTTGAAAGTGACATATTAAGGGGGAGTAGGATCAGTTGAGTCTGGTGAATTGGACGGTGGGGTGGAGCGTCGGGTCAGAAGGATAGAGAATCGAGATGTGAGGCTGTGGTGAGATCTGGATGTACCCTTGGACCGTTGAGTGAACCTTTTTGGATTTTGTCGTATGAGAGAACATGGGAGATGTATAAGAAGGCGGGGGTGCGCATTGTAGCCGCCCCCGGTCTGTAAGACATTTGCTCCTTACGGTCGGTGCACCTCAACAGGCCGCCTCTCTGACTGAGGGTGGGACCTGAAGGTCGGGCGGGTGGTTCCTTTACGGGGGATAAGCCCAGCGTCCTGTGTGAAGCGATTCTCATCCCTATACGACGCGGTGTTATCGATTCCGCATGTCGTATTCCATTGCGCAAGCCCCGAAGGGTCGTGCCA